CAAATGGAGCTGCATCAAACTCCAACTTCTACTGCATATTTGTGGTCTCAATAGAACTCTCCACCTGCTTTGAGTTTCAATTTGTCAACAAGTTTGTATCATCGAATGTAACATCTCTGCTAAAGACAACCTTCCTTTCTAACTGGTCTTGTAGTTTCATCCGAAGAGTCTTCAAAGTCTTCGTCTCTTCATATCTTCATCTATTATCGCTCTCCAAGGAGTCTTCAACCTCCATAGTACACCTACCCATTCAAGTACCATCCATAGTACACCTACCCATTCAAGCTGTTGCCTCCACGACATACCCACACATTCAGGTCGCTGCCTCCAAGCCACGCCCACCCTTGCAGGTCACTGCCCTAATGACACACCCATTCTGTCGGGCCGCTGCCTCCACGGTATGCCAACCCTTTTAGGTCATTTCCTTCATGAGACACCCATCTATCGGGTCGCTGCCTCCACAAAACACCCACCTTTTCGAGTCACTGCTTTCATGACACACCCATTCTTTGGGCGCTGCCCTCATGCAACTGTCGACCGCCATATTAGAATATATTTAATTTAATACACACACACACGCGCTCGCGCGCGCGCACACACACACAAATATATATATATATATATATATATTAAAGATAATGATGATTTGATAATTTGAATTTTGAATTAAATAGATTATAATGTGTGTATTGTACAGTATAATGTGTGTATTGTAAAGTATAATGCGTGTACTGTGAATTATAATTTGTGTTGTTTATGTATGTGTGTGATTATGTGCGTTGTGTGAATTATGGTGTGTCAAACAATGAAAACCTCGTAAGTATCGAACGATAGTCCTAAGGCATTTCCCAATTGTTATAGAAACTCAACTTGAGTTTCAATGTGTTGATTCCAATACTAAATGTCGAGGATTTGGAACCACACATATGAGATTACAATGAGTCAAGAAACGATTCGAACTTCTAAGTATGTGTGGGTTTCAATACTAATTCTCTAGCATTGTCAGTAGGAAAATCTTAAAGTTAGATCATAGGCTCTAGGAGAAAAAGTTAAACCTCGTCGAAAATGAGTTCAACAAATGAACCCCCAATAGGTGTGGTGTGCTGGACTAGCTCATTACACGTATTGGTGTTGACCAAAGCGATGAACAAACCAATCACAACTGCTCAAGTAACATACTTGGAACATACCGAAGAAATTAGGTAGATTTCAGATTAAAGGAATTGGATTTAAACTTAAGTTGGCGATGTTTAAGGAGTTTTCGTTGGGGATTAGATGAGTGTATTTTGAATTGTAAGTGTGAGTTCGAGCATTCAAATTTAAATATCGATTTGACTTGTTTTGTTTCGAGGGTATTTGTTTGTTTAAAGTTGTCTTGATTGTTTTGATTTGATTGTTATTATGTTGACATCAATTGTTCATTTTTTTTTTAATTTAAGTGTCAGAGGCATCAGAAAAGGAGCATTATGCCTTAATCCATTAAAGGAGGCCTTATACCTATCAATAAATGTCATTTATATGAGAAACAAAATCCTTGCATCTTTCCCTGAATATGAAAAACGGGAATAAAAAACCTTGCACCCACCCCCCAAAATTTCAATTATGAATGAAGAAAAGTTATGAATATGATGCAAAAATAATTAGAGGAAGGGAATGAGAATCCTCACACTAACCCCAAAATTTCAAGAATAGTGTCAAAATCTTCGCACCGAGCCCGAAGTTTCAATTATGAATGCGGTAATATTATGGATAGGATGGGGGAGATTATGACAAAAAAGGAATCAGTATCCTCACACCGACCCTGAAATTTCAATTAGCAATGTGAAAAAATTATGGATAGAATGTGCAAATAATGTATATAATTTTCATTGTTATTATTATCAATATTAATTTATTAATTTTTATTATATTGTTCTTTATTTCATTAATACTTTTGATGTTATTATTTTTTATGATTTTTTTATTATATTATTTTTTTATTATGATTATATATATATATATTATTTATATTCTCCTATTTTTTTTAATTAAGATTTTAATTAAAGATAATGATGATTTGATAATTTGGATTTTGAATTAAATAGATTATAATGTGTGAATTGTGAATTATAATGTTTGTAGTGTGAATTATAATTTGTGTTGTGTATGTATTTGTGTGATTATGTATGTTGTGTGAATTATGGTGTGTCAAACAATGAAAACCTCGTGAGTCCCAAACGGTAGTCAAGAATTATGGGTGGGCATTTCCCAATCGTTATAGGAACTTAACTTAAGTTTCAATAAGTTTGTTCCAATCTCCTCAACTAAATGTTGAAGATCTGGAACCACACATATGCGGCTACTAGGAGTCAAGAAGCAATTCAAATTTCTAAGTAGGCGTAGGTTCCAATATTAATTCTCTAGGATAGTCAGTAGGAAAATCCTAAGGTTAGATGCTAAACTTTAGGAGAAAGAGTTAAACCTCGTAAAAAATTAGGTCAACAGACACGCCTACCATTGCGGGTCACTGCCTCCACGACACACCTACCTTTATGAGTCGCTTCCTCCATAACACACTCACCCTCACCACTCTCATGCATGATTATTTTTATTTGCATTTGTATGTGTGCATGGATAGCGAGTCAGACTCGGTATGCGAGCGACCTCGTGTCGGTCGTGATGCCTTAACGAGCATTGCTCGCGTGGTCGATTTTGGTGAGCAATACGAATTAAAGCATCAACATTGACATGTGTATAACTGTGCTAATGTTCCATTGGATCTAACTCGTGACACAATGCATGTTACAAATTTTTATTTAATGATTCTTATTTTAAAACAATATACATATATAT